ATAATATATATTTTTTCATTATAATGAAAATAATGTCAAATTTAAATTTAAACATGAATTTAGGTTGCTGGGCAAGTCAGGTTACTTATATGGATATGCAATCTTCCCCGATAGTCCTATTATTAGTTTACAGAAAAGGAAGCATACAAAATTAGAAAGAGTAGCATACTTACTATTGGAAGATCTTGGGCATATCACTCAAACTGAGTGTACTCTTCATTTGCCAAACGAGCATAATATAATGACAAACTAGGAACAGTTTGATCTTGAGGATCAAGTGCATATGAGGACATTCTGTAAATGGAAATTTGCTATACAATTGAAAAATATTATTAATATTTCTGAGACCAAATTCCTAGCTAGAACCAAGGTTAATAACTATAATATCATGTTCTAGACAGCAGGCTGTGGGAAATTGTTGTGTTCTTTAGTTTCTTATGGTCAGTTGGAAAGAGCACTGGGCTGATAACCATGGTGGCCTGGGTTCTAGGTCTGGTGTTGCCACTCACTAGCCTGGTTACCTTCTGAGAGTCCTTCCTACTTTTTGTTGTTGTTGTTGTTGCAAAAATTAGGAAGCCGTGTTAGATGATATCTAAGGGCCCTCTATATATCACAAATAATTTTTGGTAAAATGACTAATGCAAAATTTTGGAACTGAAAATTAATTTTTCACAGAAGGCATAATACCAACATTTGCTTGCCGTCGTTAGGTTCATTTGTTTACTGTCTCTGTAGGTTGATGTTCTGCACTGTGTGCAAATTTGGTGAGAGGAAATGGACCAATTAAAATGTGGAAGCCAAGTTTTCATAAAGCAGATGGCAGAATAGATCATGGAGTTTTATATTTAGAGCCATGCAGTATATCCAAACAGATCATTTTGGGAACCGTTACGCTGCCTTCAATGTGAGCTGGACTTAATCAAAACATTTAAGTTGAAGTTTTGCTTTTGTTCCTTACTAGCTAGGTGACCTTGGGCAAATGCCTTAACTATCTGGATGCTCCATTTCTCAATCTCACAAATGGGTATCATAATGTCAGTTTAATAGGGATTCTGTTAAAAGGATAAACATGATAATATTCTTGGAATAGCTTTATATATGAAAAAGTTCTGTATATAGCGAAGTCTCTATTTGATGTTCAAAAGGGTAAGTCATCTGGAAGTGTAGCATTGTCTGTTTTCATTCATCTTAATGAAGGAAGCTGGTAAAGGGAATAATCAAAGCCCATAGGTATTAAGAAAGAAGTGAACAAAAGAAATAATTAGTTTCAAAACCTGGACAAGAGCCAGAAATGGAAGTTGGAGTTTTGAATGTTGACATTGGAGCAAGAGATTTGTCAGGAGACCAGGCTTCAGCTCAATAATTATCTGTTCCCCAGCTTCCTTACCCTGGGCCTTATTAAATGAAGTTAGGACCTTTAGGGATATGTATGTGGGCATGATATAATAATTCTCAAATGATACTGTGTGACCTTAAGGCATAATCATCAGACTCAAGAATAAAGTTGAATTTGTTTATTAACTCTAGCAAAGAGAACTCAGATAATAACTGTAAACAAAGACACCGCATACATCTAAATAAAGGATACCAGTCCCCAAATACTGGGGTCAATAGTTGAGAGATATTTTCTTGTTTCATGCATTGGCACAACTCATTTTTAAGACTGCACAATTTTATATTCTTTTTCCTCTTATGTCTTACAGAACCATGATTGATTATCATATCTTGATTATTTTATTCCTCAGATTCTTGATACCTTGGGAAAATAAATATACTGTCTTTCCTAATGATAAAATAAACAATGCTATTAGCTCCTCATGGCAGTCCAAATGTGAACCTTGCTCTCTCTCTCTGGTGCTCCTTTCCAATTCTTATCCTGGGAAACTCTACCTCATCTCCTCATATGCTCCAGTACCATATCTGTGAAGGCTTGGTCGGTTACTCCACGCTGCAGTCCACTCCCCTCCATGGCTCTCACAGCACTTTATTCATATTTCACTCTTAGCCTTTGTTGCATCAAATCATGGTGATTTGTTAACATGTTTGTTACCCCCTCTAGACTACGAGCTACTTAGAGAGAAGAGCATGTCTTTTCCCTCTTTAGGTCTCAGGATCTCATCTAATATCTGATGTTGGGTATGGGATGAAGTTAGAAGAGAGATAGGAGGCACTCAGTGCCTGAATTCTTGATCTAATTTTTGACCCACATCTCTTCTCTGAATTGGATGTATGTTTAAAAGACCAAGCCACGTGGTGCTTGGGTGGCTCAGTCAGTTAAGCGTCTGCCTTTGGTTCAGGTCATGATCTCCAGGTCCTGGGATTGGCCCCATGTGGGGCTCCTGGCTCAGCAGGGAGTCTGCTTCTTCCCCCCTCCTCCCCGCTCATGTTTTCTGTCTCTCTCTGTCTCAAAGGAATAAATAAAATCCTAAAAAAAAAGACCAAGCCAAGAAAAGGAAGTCTTGTGATGATTATTCTTCTCTTTCCTTGTTTTCTATCTCCCCCATTGCTCCATTCCTTCATTTCTTTCATCTTTCTTCTCTTCTCATCTGTAATAAGTAAAAATATTCACAGTCTAAAAAATAAAGCAATGAATTATAACCTATTCATGATTATATGCTGGTATAAATATGTAACTAAATAAAAATTTAAATGAGAGAGCATAGAAAAATCTCCCATACAATACAATTCCAAATAATTTATGTAGATATTCCCCCCTCAGTTGGGGGAGCATGACTCCCTACTCTGTAAGTGTGGGTTGAATATGGTGACTTCCTTCAAAAGAATACGGTATGGAAAAGGCTAAAAGAGAGTAAGTTTACACTGGAGAAACCTGACAAATACTGCCTCTGCCCCGTGATCAAAGTCAACATCAACAGTGAAGTCATGTTTACAGTATGTACCCTTGATATAATGTGATGAGAATGACAGTCTACCTCTGCGTCTTTCTTCCAAAAACCTGTAACTCAGACAAATTCAGTTTGAAGGACATTCTACAAAATACCTCACCAGGAGTTCTCAAACTGCCACAGTTATCAAATATAAGGAAAGTCTAAGAAACTCACAGCCAAGAAGGACCTAAAGAGACATGATGACTGAATGTAGTGTGATATCCTTGATGGGATCCTTGAACACTTGGACATTAGGTAAAAAAATAAGGTAATCTGAATAAAGTATGAGCTTTAGTTAGTAATAACATGTCAATGTTGGTGAATTAGTTATGACAAATGTACTATAGTCGTGTTAACAATGGGGGAAACTGAGTGCAGTGTGCACACATTCAGTCTTACCTAAAGTAGATATTCCCCGCTCGGTTACTTCTTATTCCTTCACCATGGTTACTGCCTTCATAGCAACTACTGTAGTCTATCATGATCTTTTTTTATTTGTTTACTGCCTGCCCCTCCCATTAGATTGTAACCTTCACAAGGGCAAAGATCTTCTCTGTTCAGTCTGTTGCGTTCCCACTATGTTGGAGGTTGCTATACATAGTAGATGATTAATAAATAGCTGTTAAATGAATGAAGGAAGGAATTATTGATAGTTGTTACCAAGACTTGAAGGATCATTGCAACTGGAGCAGAACTAACTCATTACTTTATGTTATAAATAAGCTATACTTCATGCATTCTCTAAAGAGAGGTAGTAGGGAAAGTACCTTGATCTAGGCTCCATTTCTCTCTCCCTCTCTACCTCTTGTCTCCTTTCTTTCTTTCTTTCTTTCTTTCTTTCTTTCTTTCTTTCTTTCTTTCTTTCTTTCTTTCTTTCTTTCTTTCTTTCTTTCTTCCCTACTTCCTTCCCTCCCTCCCTTTCTCTCTTTCCTTCCTTCCTTCTTTCTATAATAAAAAGAATAATTTCGCCAAGCATCCTGTGAAGGGTAGCCTGGAGTTTCTTCTTGGAAGGTGTGTAAATAAGGGTGCTAACATGCATTTGTTGTTCATGCTGGGAAGTTCCTCACTTCTCTTCATTTCTTAATTGAGTCAACTGGAAGAAATACATATTATCATGGATGTATACCATAAGAGACTCAGACTTTTGCTATTGAGATGTTGTCACTGAAGCAGAAACACCTAGGTACTATGGGTAAAGAAAGTCTCTGTGCACAGCTGGGGGCCTCCCCACCTCCTGGGATCACTGAAAGCAAGGGTATGACACAGAGGCTGGGAATCCTGAAAGTCACAAAGGAATAGTTGGATGATACACCCTGGGCGTAGTGTGTCATCCTACATGTTTCATGAAGAGCAGTGGTGGACAACTAAGAAGGATGGTACTTTATATGGTCTGTGTTAGTCTTTGAAGTATTTCTGTACTTTGATTGGTGTGTTCAATTTCTTCCATTAGGTTATTTAACCTGTAGTTTTCCAGATGATTTTTTTGACTGCCACCTATTCACTGTGGCAAGTTTTGTGAGATATTCTAAGACATATTAGGTGTGGTCTCTGCCATCAATGAGGTCAGCATCTGACTTGGGAGATAAAACACAAGGGCATGAAATGTGAGTAAGGTCCAGTGCGAGACTATCCCTTGAAAGGGATGTTATCGTAGAGGAGGGAGGGACAAGAAAAGTCACACAATGCTTCACGTGGAGGCAAAAACTGAGCTGGCCCTGAATGCATGGCTGTAAATTAAGGATTCATAAATTAATTCAATATTTTTGAGATCTCTAGGCATCAAGCTAATGGAGATGGTTTCTTCCTCCAAAGAGGTCACAGTGTACTTGAGGGAGATAAAGAAGGGCACTACAAGTGTTACAGGTGCTGTGATGGAGTTATACACAAGGTACAGAGGGAACACGGGGGATGGTGTGGTCACTTGTCCTCGTCTGGGGGTGGGGAGGGTGGTCAGGAAAGACTATTTAGATGAAGTGTCACTGAGCTGAACAGCTCAATAAAATACAGTTCGTATATGTTACCACAGTTACAATTCTTTTTCTTGTGATGAGAACTTTTAAGATCTCCTCCCTTAGCGACTATCAAATGTACAATACAGTATTGTTAACTATAGTCACCATGTGGTACATTGCATCACCAGGACTTATTTATTTCAGAACCAGAAGTTTGTACCTTTTGACCCACTTCACCCTTTTTGGCCAACCCTTCATCCCCTACCTCTGGCAACCATGAATACATTCTCTGTATCTATGAGTTTGGGCTTTTGTTTTTAAAAATATGGAATGCTTCATGAATTTGCATGTCATCCTTGTGCAGGCACCATGCTAATCTCTGTATCGTTCCAGTCTTAGTAAACTGTGCTGTGAAGCAAACACTCATTTCTTTTCAAATAATGAGAAAGTCATATGGCAACATCTGACTTTAAAAAGACCTCAGAATGAAACCACCTTTGGGAGGGTGTGTTTCCCAAGTCAGAGACCCAAAGAACCCCAGCCCTCGGACTTTCTGTCCTACTTGGGAGAAGATAAGGATAATTGCTATCCCATTTTGTCATGCCCACGTTGTTCATTTTCACTTGCTGATTGAGAAGCAGCTAAAATCTATTACTGTGGGGTAAAAGCACCACAGAAACCTGTCCAAGGTGAGGACAAATGGCCCGAGAATTGTATAGAACTCAGGAGAATTAATGAATCAAAGTCAGTGCTCTTAGATATCTTAGATACTAATAAGCTTAATCCTCTTATTTTCTAGATACTGGGACAGAGGCTTGAAGGATGATAGTGACTTTCCCAGCTTACCGCTCCTAGAAACCATGTCTCCATGTCTCTGAATCTCAACCCCATGATGCTTCTTCCAGAGAACTATGGTAGATGCTCTGATGCCCGTTGCAATAACCCATAACTCTTCTCATCTTTCACACCCCCCGCAGGTTTCTCAGACATCCTGCTTTCCTCTGTCAGCCCTATCTCCATGTCCTCACCTGATTTGTTTTTCTAGTGTCTTCTGACTCATTTTTTTTTAAAAGATTTTATTTGAGAGAGAGAAAGAGAAAGAGAGAGAGAGCACAAGCAGGGAGAGCAGCAGAGGAAAAGGGAGAAGCAGGGCTCCCGCCGAGCAGGGAGCCTGATGTGGGGCTCGATCCCAGGACCCTGGGATCATGACCTGAACTAAAGGCAGACGCTTAACCGATTGAGCCACCCAAGTGCCCCTCACCTTTTCTTCATTATCGTCTTTCCTCTGCTTCTAAACACTGCAATACTGTAAAAGGATGAAAGAAACCTGAGAGTCTGTTTGGGATTTTCTTCTGGGTGTAATTGCAGAGTATGCCTGTCCCTTTGGCTCTTTATTATTATTATTTTTAAGATTTTATTTATTTATTTGTCAGAGAGAGAGCGCGTGCACAAACAGGGGAAGGAGCAGGCAGAGCAGGCAGAGGGAGAAGCAGGCTCCCCACTGAGCAGGGAGCCCTATGCAGGACTCCATCCCAGGACCCTGGGATCATGACCTGAGACACTTAACAGACCGAGCCACCCAGGCATCCCTGGTTCTTTACTTTTGGAATGAAAAGGAACAGCATCAATAACATCCCCTCTGCAGCAAGTGAGAGTTACAAATTCTCAAAATTTTTCTATGAATGATGGCAGTTTAAAAATACCCTTGCGGGTGCCTGGGTGGTTCAGTTGGTTAAGTGCCTTCGGCTCAGGTCATGGTACCAGGGTCCTGGGATCGAGCCCCGCATCGGGCTCCCTGTTCAGCAGGAAGCCTGCTTCTCCCTCTCCCACTCCCCCTGCTTGTGTTCCCTCTCTCGCTGTGTCTCTCTCTCTCTGTCAAATAAATAAATAAAATCTTTAAAAAAATACCCTTGCTAAAATTGGGTTAAATATAGCAAATTATATGATATTCTTTTAATATGCAGTAATAATAGTTACCCACTTCCTTCAGATGGATATTTTATAGTTCCCATTTGTATTTTTTTATTATCTGTAAGTCTTAGGGAACATAGGACTTACCGATATAGAATCAAATAAAGCATTAAAAAATTAGTAGTAGCAATAAATGTTTCAAAAAAGTTTTTAATAAGAATGGACATTTATCAGTAGCATTAAAAAAAACCTGAAAACCAGAAAAAAATTATCTCCAAAGCCAGTCCTGTTCAATTCCACAAATATTTATGGAGTACCACCACTGCTAAACGAGCAGTGAAGGATAAAAATGGTAGAAAAAGGGTAGAACACAATCCTTTTGTATAAAGAACATACAATTTTTATGAGCAGCAAGGCACTCTCCCTAGGTGTAATTTATCTCTTCATAGTAAATCAGCTGAGTCTAATAAATGCTAGCCACTGCACTAGGTGCTGGAAATTCAAGAATAAATGGCATATTCTCCATTCCCAAGACACTCACAACTATTGAATGTTTCTTTTCCCATTCAGATGAAGATATAAACGAAATGTATAAACTACCAGTGGGTTTCAAAACAATAAGATAGCCATCTCAATGCGAATCCCTAGTAAAATTCTGGAAACGCATGATTAAATAAATAATTCGTAGGCATTTTGAAAAGCCTGGTGATTACTAAGAAGAGCCTGTATGAAGTGACCCAAGATAAATTGTGCCAAATACACTTTCCTTTTAAAATAAGGCTTTTCATAACATAATAAAATAATTTTAAAATTTTAAAAATTTTAAAAAAGTAAAATTTATTTGAGAAACAACAAAAAAATAAGGCTTCTCAATGGTTAGATTTATATCCGTACTGTAATGTATTTTGATTGTATGAAAAGATTTGATAGGCTTTCCATGATATTCTTCTTGGAGAGATGGTTTATTACAGATTAGATGGTGAATTGGTTATTATTATTTTTTTTAAGACTTTATATTTATTTTTATTTTGAGAGAGAGGGAGAGAGAGAAACAGCATGAGAGGGGAGAGGGTCAGAGGGAGAAGCAGGCTCCCCGCTGAGCCGGGAACCTGATGTGGGACTTGATCCCAGGACTCCGGGATCATGACCTGAACCGAAGGCAGTTGCTTAACCAACTGAGCCACCCAGGCGCCCCAAGAATTGGTTATTTTTTGATGCAAAATATACCAGTTCAAACTTAATGACTTACAATATCAATCATTTTCTTGGCCCATGTTTCTGTGGGTCAACATTTTAGGCTCGTTCGGCTGGGTAGTTCTTCTGCCGGAATCACTAATGTGACTGCAATCATCTGGAGGATCGACTGGGGTTGGTCTAGGGAACCTTCTTGATGGCCTATCTCTAGGTGTTATCCTAGCTCCAACATCTTCATGTGACAGTCACAGGGCAGCAAGAGAGGACAGACGCCAAAGGGTAAGTGTAAGCCTCTGCTTGCAATATATTTGCTAATGTCCCATTGGCCAAAGCAAGTCACATAGCCATAGGGGAAGGGGGCGGTGGTCATAATTGTGACAATGTACCACCAATGTTATTAATTGAGCATATTTCTAGCTAGTTGGACAATTCCCAAATAGGAGGACTACCATAGATGCTCACTTGTTGTATTTTACCGTGGATATTGGTTAATGATTTGGACAAAGGAAATGAAATATGATTGTAATTTTGATCATGCCACAAAACTATGATGAATAAAATCCTGAGGATGACTGTGGCAGTTTGGTTCACTTGGCCCAAACCAATTAAAAAAAACAAAACAAAACAATATAACAGGGGCATCTGGGTAGCTCAGTTGGTTAAGTGTCTGACTCTTGATTTCATCTCAGGTCATGATCTCAGGGTGGTGAGATCGAGCCCCTTGTTGGACTCTGTGCTGGGTGTGAAGCCTGCTTAAGAGTCTCTCTCTCCGTCTCCCTCTGTCCTTCCGCCCCCACCCCCCATTCATAAGTGCGCTCACACTCTCTCTCTAAAAAAAAAAAAGTCCTACATGTATGTTAGTAAAATAAATTGTGATCAGGCAGAATTGAAAGTCAAATGAAGTGATATGGAGATTTTATTTGATACCAAATTTATGAGAGGCTAAAGTGATCAAGGTCAATTGATAGAAATGTAGTTCACAGGTCATGATAAGTAACAGTTCCCCAGAACAAAATATTCTCAGTGCATTGTGTTTATTTCTGTGTGAAAATTTGTAGAAAGATATGGAGCTAGGGAAAATCTAGAAGGTGACTGGTGTGAGAGCATTTAAATATGATCTCCTGGAGAGAAAACTGATGGAGTATTTGCTCTAGAGAAAAGAGGACTAAAGACTTAAGGAAGATACAAAATCTGTCCTAATACTTGGATACTTGGGAGAATTGTCAGGGAGAAGAAAGCTCTAGAGGGTCAAAATAGGATCAGTGGGAGGAAGTTGCTTGTAGATGGACTTTAGCTCAAACAAGTGTGTGGTACTTTAACAAAAGGAGTTGTCCAACAAGGAATGTGGTGTCTTCCAAGTGAATGATCTCTCTCCTTGGAAGCTCAAGCAGAGTCTGGAACACTGAGATGCTGTAGAAGGGATTCTTGAGGAGTCAGGATTCAATGAGGCCCACTTCTTTTCCCATATTTTCACTTACTAAATTAAATAACATTTTCCTCCATTATTATTACCCTTTTTATTGCTGGGGTGCTCTTTAAAAGTTATGAACAGAATCATGAGTTTTCATTTTGGTTAGCAAAACAAAAACATGTAAAAAAAAAAAAAAGAAAAAGTCCCCCTTCCTTTGGCCAACTGCAAAGCCTTCCTTCCTTCCTCCCTCCCTCCCTCTGGTTCAGTTGGTTAAGTGCCTTCGGCTCAGGTC